CTGTGTCACCTATCATACTCTGTGTCACCTACCATACCTCTGTGTCACCTATCATACTCTGTGTTACCTATCATGCCTCCTGTCACCACCATACCTCTGTGTTACCTATCATACCTCTGTGTCACCTATCATACCTCTGTGTTACCTATCATGCCTCTGTGTCACCTACCATACCTCTGTGTCACCTATCATGCCTCTGTGTTACCTATCCTCTCTGTGTTACCTATCATACCTCTGTGTCACCTATCATTCCTCTGTCACTTACCATACCTCTGTGTTACCTATCATACCTCTGTGTCACCCACCATACCTCTGTGTCACCACCATACCTCTGTTTTACCTACCATGCCTCTGTGTCACCTATCATACCTCTGTGTTACCTATCATGCCTCTGTGTCACCTACCATACCTCTGTATTTACCTATGTGCCTCTGTGTCACCTACCATACCTCTCATCCGTACCATGCCTCTGTGTCACCTATCATACCTCTGTGTTACCTATCATGCCTCTGTGTCACCTACCATACCTCTGTGTTACCACCATGCCTCTGTGTCACCTATCATACCTCTGTGTTACCTATCATGCCTCTGTGTCACCTACCATACCTCTGTGTTACCTATCATGCCTCTGTGTCACCTACCATACCTCTCGCATTACCATGCCTCTGTGTCACCTACCATACCTCTGTGTTACCTATCATGCCTCTGTGTCACCTACCATACCTCTGTCACGTGCCATGCCTCTGTGTCACCTACCATACCTCTGTGTTACCTACTATACCTCTGTGTCACCTACCATACCTCTGTGTTACCTATCATGCCTCTGCATCACCTACCATACCTCTGTGTTACCTATCATACCTCTGTGTCACCTACCATACCTCTGTGTTACCTATCATACCTCTGTCACGTGCCATACCTCTGTGTTACCCTATCATGCCTCTGTGTCACCTACCATACCTCTGTCCGCATTACCATGCCTCTGTCACCTACATACCTCTGTTTTACCTACTATACCTCTGTGTCACCTACCATACCTCTGTGTTACCTATCATGCCTCGTGTCACTACCTCTGTGTTACCTATCATACCTCTGTCACCTACCATACCTCTGTGTTACCTATCATGCCTCTGTGTCACCTACCATACCTCTGTGTTACCTATCATACCTCTGTCATTACCATTCCTCTGTGTCACCTATCATACCTCATGTTACCTATCATGCCTCTGTGTCACCTACCATACCTCTGTGTTACCTATCATGCCTCTGTGTCACCTACCATACCTCTGTCACGTACCATGCCTCTGTGTCACCTACCATACCTCTGTGACACCTATCATGCCTCTGTGTCACCTACCATACCTCTGTCACGTACCATGCCTCTGTCACCTACCATACCTCTGTGTTACCTACTATACCTCTGTAATACCTACCATACCTCTGTGTTACCTATCATGCCTCTGCATCACCTACCATACCTCTTGTTTACCTATCATACCTCTGTGTCACCTACCATACCTCTGTGTTACCTATCATACCTCTATCGCTACCATACCTCGTGTTACCTATCATGCCTCTGTGTCACCTACCATACCTCTTTATTTACCTATCATACCTCTGTCACGTACCATACCTCTGTGTTACCTATCATGCCTCTGTGTCACCTACCATACCTCTGTGTTACCTATCATACCTGTGTCCGTACCATTCCTCTGTCACCTATATGCCTCTGTGTTACCTATCATGCCTCTGTGTCACCTACTATACCTCTGTTACCCTATCATGCCTCTGTGTGCCTACCATACCTCCTGTGTTACCTATCATGCCTCTGTGTCACCTACCATACCTCTGTGTTACCATCATGCTCTGTGTCACCTATCATACCTCTGTGTTACCTATCATGCCTCTGTGTCACCTACCATACCTCTGTGTTACCTATCATGCCTCTGTGTTACCTATCATACCTCTGTGTTACCTACCATACTCTGTCACCCACCATACTCTGTGTTACCCATCATGCCTCTGTGTCACTTACCATACCTCCTGTGTTACCTATCATACCTCTGTCACGTTACCATACCTCCTGTGTTACCTATCCATGCCTCTGTGTCGCCTACCATACCTCTGTGTTACCTATCATGCCTCTGTGTCACCTACCATACCTCTGTGTTACCTATCATGCCTCTGTGTCACCTATCATACCTCTGTGTTACCTATCATGCCTCTGTGTCACCTACCATACCTCTGTGTTACCTATCATGCCTCTGTGTTACCTATCATACCTCTGTGTTACCTACCATACCTCTGTCACCTACCATACCTCTGTGTTACCTATCATGCCTCTGTGTCACCTACCATAGTGCACATATATGGGTTGATAATTTTTCATTGTTGTATTTTGTAGGAGGGAGAAGTGCCTCGATAAGTAAGAGTTTGGGATAACTCGGCACGGCCAGAGCCCCATATGTGCCGAGCTATCGAGGGCTTACAGTATCTGCACCTACACCAGTATTGTTCATGTCTGGTCTTCAAAGAGCTCACACTCGGTGACGTCACAACATTCTCTGGCAGATTGTTCCAAGAATTTGCAATTCTCACTCCAAAAAAGTTTTATGGACTTTTGACCCCTTGAGGGGCAGGCATCCACCAGCTCCAAGTATGAACACTCGACTGAGTAGTGCCATATGATTTTTTTTTTATGGGGATTAGCCCATCCGGACACAGGCCACTGACCACATCGGGGCCTGGGGGGCGAAAATGTAATAATAAAAATAATTATTATAATAATAATAATAATAATAATAATCACAATTCATAGTAAATAAAATATATACAGTAATAAAAATACAAAATTAAAAATAAAATAATAAAGATAACAATACAGGTTGACAATCCCTTATCCGAAATCCTTGGGGCCAGAGGCATTTAGGATTTCGGAATTTTTTGGTTTTCAGAATGGTTATTTTTATTTATTTATTTTTTTTTTTTTGCCCACCCGGGCACAAGTCACTGATCCACATTGGGGCCTGGGGGGGCGAAAATATAATAAAAATAATAATAATAATAATAATAATAATAATAATAATAATAATAATAATAATAATAATAATAATAATAATTATAATTCATAGGTCTAGGTCGTGTTTCTCACTTTTTATCTTTTTTCATTCTTGTATTTCTTTATTATTATTATTATTATTATTATTATTATTATTATTATTATTATTATTATTATTATTTTATTAATACAGTATTATTGTTATTATTACTATTATTATAAATTATATTATTATATTTTGTTATTATTATTATTATTGTTATCATTATTATTGTATTTTGGTGTATTTTTTAATTAAAATTTTTATTTACTATGAATAATAATTATTTTATTATAATTATTATTACTATTACATTTCCCCCAGGTCCTGATGTGGGTCAGTGATCTGTGCCTGGGTGGGCTAATACCTGTTAATAAAAAAAAAAAATAAAATTACTCCACAAAAAACTTTCGGTTTTCAGAGCTTTTCGGTTTTCGGAATTTCGGATAGAGGGTTGTCGACCTGTAGTAATAACACTGTAATAATAATAATAAACTTCAATTAAGTCGCCCCTTGACTGCTTATAGTATGAGCTAGGCAGTTGTAGGCATTATAATCTCTCTGGGTAACTGAGGTGCCATAGCACAGGCACCAGTCTGATGGCCCTCCTTTGGATATTTTCAATCAACTGACAGTCTCTAGCATATCTCGGGGACCAGATGGGGAAGCACCTCACTCTTGAAGAGCTTTATGAGGCTACACCTTAGACCAAATTTTTAATTTGGATGAAACAGGTTTATACTGGAAGTGCACGCCAACAAGAACTTACATTTCCAAGAATGAAGCACATGCTCCAGGCTTTAAGGCTGCGAAGGACCGCGTGACAGTGTTGTTGGGTGCAAATGCTAGTGGAGACTTAAAGCTTAAGCCTGTGCTGGTGTATCACTCTGTCAACCCGTGAGCTTTAAAGGGTTACATAAAGTCTACTCTAGGTGTTTACTTTAGGTCAAGCAAAAAAAGGTTGGATGATGGGACAAATTTTTTCTGACCTTCTTGTGGATGTGTTTGAAAATATTTTTAAAAGTTATTGCAAGAAGAAGAATATAGATTTTAAGGTTCTCCTCATTTTAGATAATGCGCCAAGCTGCCCTCCCACCATTGATGAACGTTCTGACAATATCAAAGTGCTCTTTCTACCTCCAAATACAATATCTCTCCTTCAACCAATGGACCAAGGAGTAATAGCAGCCTTCAAAGCCTATTATTTGAGGCATACATTTAAGAAACTTATTGCAGCTACTGAGGAAGGAAATGATATGGCCAGTGTTCTTCAGTTTTGGAAAAGTTTCAACATCAAACATGCAATGGGACATCATTGTGGAGGACTGGGGTGATGTAAGTAAGGACTGCTTGAGTGGAGTTTGGCGGAATCTTCTCCCAGATTTCATTCATGATTTTAAAGGCTTTGATGCATCAGAGGAGCTCCCAAAAATAAAAGAAAATTGTGTTTCTCTTGCAAAGTAAGTTGGCTTTGCTGAAGTGGAAAGTGCTGATGTTGAGGAACTGCTCTAATCCCACTGTGAAGACCTCTCTACAGCTGATCTAAACAACTTGTTGCTGCTGGGGAATTTGAAGATAATGAAGTCCAGGATGCAAAACCACGAGAGCTTCCCACTTCTCTTTTGATAGTCTAGTTATTAAACATTATTTTAGATAATAAAAGGTCTGCTTACCTATTGTGAACACATTTAGTTTGAATAAATGCACTGACACACGAACATTTTCTATGAACCAATCAGTTATTTTTATATGGAAGAGGGGCATGGCTTACGGGGTCAGGAGAGAGTACAGTACAGTTGTCAGGGTCAACACAAGGTTGATACTTAAGATGTGTATGGGTTAATGCAGTACAGTACAGTATACTGTATATAGTAGTTCATTTATTATGGAAATTTTCAGGTTGGGGCTGTAAGAGAAGGCATGGCATGGATCGTGCCAGTACCCCTGCTCTCCCTGATGACAGCGTCACACCTGGAGCAGCTGGTGTGTGGCCTACCTCACATCTCGGTCGCTACCCTCAAAAAAGTTGTCAGGTAAGAGGTTTTGGTGTTGTAAGCAACACATTTTGGGATCATCTCATCATTTACATCATGGCTCCGAAAACATTTTCAGTGTGGGCTAGAAAGTGGAGTTGTTGGCTTGGCCCATACCGTAGTCTCACTTATAATGCTGTTGAAATATCTTTTGAAAATGGAGGAATTAATTCAGTTTACCTTTGATAAACAAATTTTGGGTAAAGGAAGCAGATGATTAGCACCCGAACATGTTTATATATTTCGTTCATATTTTCCACATTTGTTCTTTAGATGATATTAATGTAAATTTATCGTTTAGGTCATCCAGCGATTTTTACGATGTTAAGTTTTGGAATCAGTACTTTAGACAGTTCTAAGACACTTTTCTTCTATGGTGTTTTTCTCGCTCATGATTGCTTTCAGAGAGAAAACAAAAGGGGGGGGGGAGGTTGTGGGTGGGGGGAAATCACAAAAAAGTAGTAATTTGATAGAAATGAAGGTTAAATAATCCAAAACCCAATCTAACCTAACCCAACCTAACCTAACTTAACCCTAAACCTTACCTTAATTAGACTCAGAAGTCTCTGAGTCGGGGTCATGAGATAACATCCAAAGAACAACTGCGCTTGTGTCACGCTGTAGCTCATGAGTCACTGCGTGTTGTCTGAGTGTACTCCCACATCCACAAAAAATGTAAAATTACACCATGATGCTAGGAAGTTAGGTAAGGTTAGGTAGGTTTCTTTGGTTGGTTAGGTCAGGTTGTATGAGGGTGTGATAAGTCCAAAAAGACTCATTTCTGACAGAAATGAAGGTCAAATTCTAATGAATCACACCAAATAGCATGGGAAAAACAATATTTGTGGTCAAACAGTAGCTGTGGCTGGAAATGTAAATTTATCTTTTTTTATATTTAACCTATTGCAAGACATACAAGGTAATATTAACAGCAATCCATAAATACTTACTTGGATAAATACAGCTTGTTAGAAACTGTGGTTAATATTGACGACTGACCCGCGGATGAGTTATTTGTTTTGCAGTTCATTTTCTTTCTCTATTTTCATCAGTGAATTATGATATGATAATCATTTCTTGTGCAAATGCTTTGTTTGATAGATAATTAGGTGCCTATGCGTGCAATACTTTGACTTCTCGAAACACTCTGCCGCCTGGGCCGGATCAAAGCCGATGCTCAGTACAGTATATGTTAATGAACCATTCGGTATGGGCAGCTGTTCTCACATCCACAAAAAACGTAAAATTACACCATTTCATAGTAAGCTCTTTCTGTTTAATATACCACGGGGTCTGGAGGGCTCTGCCCCCCCAGCTAGGAAATTAGGTAAGATTAGGTAGGTTTGTTTGGTTTGGGTGGTGAGGTCTTCTAACAATGCTTCTTTTGCTTGTTTTTCATATCATATAAGGTTAGGTTATGTTTAATTTAGAAATAACCTCTTTGTAACACATTTGCACAAACTAAGATTGTGTCCACTATAAAACACAGTGAAATTGCAGCGTTATTATAATTGTTTTCTATGAAAATTCGACCGTGGGTCAGTTGTCAATAATTACCAAAACTATTGATAGTTTGATATACAAATGTCTCACACTTGAATACTATCATTAACAAAATTTATAGATAAAGTTATGAGGGGTGGTAGTTGCACCACTGACCATGGTATTAATGTTGTGGTGTGAACATGGTGCACCACTGATCAAGGTGTTAATGTTGTGGTGTGAACATGGTGCACCACTGATCAAGGTGTTAATGTTGTGGTGTGAACATGGTGCACCACTGATCAAGGTGTTAATGTTGTGGTGTGAACATGGTGCACCACTGATCAAGGTGTTAACATTCTGGTGACATATCAGACACACTCATTGGGGTTTTATTAAGTACTGTACCTGGAGAAAGCTTGAATTGTCTGCCTACTGGGGTTTGATACACTATCATACTTCACTGATGATCTTTGCCCAGTGTTGACCAAAATAGTGAGCTTCTTGTTATAGAATGTGATCAACCAGCTGGGAAAATTACACAGCATATTAAGTGTGTTGCTTTTTAGTCATTGATTATTATGCCAGAAGAAACATTAAATACTCTAGAAATAAGCCAAAGGAAGGAGGACTGTCCTTTACTGTGTCAACTATAAGCTTCCATTTATCTGGCATCCAAGACACAGGCAGTGCCAATACCACTGCACTTAAGTGTTACTCCCATTACTCTTCTATTACAAGTACAACACAAGCACATGGATAAACTGGACAGTGACAGTTTAAATGTTTTCTGATGCAGATAACGAACTGAAGTAGCTCTTATAATGACATTGTTTACCAACCACCAAACAGTGTGAGCCGACCACGTGTATGTGTTGTGCACTGTTACTTGTGGGGTTCCTCTTCATAACAACAAGTGGATACACCTGATTGTTCAACCAGCATTGAACATGGTTTGTTTGATGTATGTGTGGCAGCGAAACTTAATGTAGTAGCCTATTGGTAGGCCTGGGGTAACAGATGGGTGACCCAGGGAATAAACTTTAGCCTTCCCCAGGACCCGGGTAACTTTTACTTACTTTACTTTTATCCTCTTCACCACCGATCGGCTCGTTAGCCGCTTGGGTGATCGGTCACATCTCTGTTACGCACTGTTGACAAGTACTGGGCATGCACCGGCTCCTGAATGTACCTGAAACCCCTCCAGTGTTGGTCAAGTCTGGTCTTGAAAGAGCTCACACTCGGTGCCATCACAACACTTTCTGGTAGATTGTTCCAAGAGTTTACAACTCTCACTCCGAAAAAGTTTGCCTTCACAGTTTTCTGGACTTGCAGCTTCTTCAATCTTGAGCTGTGACCCCTTGTGGGGCGAGCATCCGCCAGCCCCAAGTAAGGACACTCGACTGAGTAGTGCCCCTTGAGATGCTTATACACCTCAATTAGGTCTCCCCTTGCCCGTCTGTAGTATAAGCTAGGCAAGTTCAGGCACTCCAATCTCTCAGGGTAGCTGAAGTGCCGAAGTGCAGGCACCAGTCTGGTGGCCCTCCTTTGGACATTTTCAACCAACTGACAGTCCCTAGTATATCTCGGGGACCAGACGGGGTGACAGGGTGACAGTACTCCAGATGGGGAAGCACTTCGCTCTTGAAGATCGTTACGAGGAACGGACCGCCTAGATATCTGAACGACCTTCTTATAAGACCCAATAATTTATTTGCCTGATTTACCTTCTTCTCGCAATGGCCCGAGAACTTCAGCTCATTGTCAACATACACACCTAGGTCCTTCTCACATTCAGTCTCAAATAGTGCAGTTTCTTCATCCTGTTGGGACATATGATACGCCTCCTTACCGTTGGTACGCCCCAGGTGCATCCTCTTACACTTCGTGACATTGAATCTTGGCAGCCATTTCTTCGACCATTCTTGGAGCCCACAGAGGTCCTTCTGCAACTCTTCACAGTCCGCTTCGTTCTTGATTTCCCAAAATAACTTGGCATCATCGGCAAACATTTGTATGGAGGAGTGTACAACGTCAGGCATGTCATTTATGAAACAAACAAACAACAGTGGGCCCAACACACTGCCCTGTGGTACCCCACTTGTGACAGGTACGGATGATGATTTCATGCCATTAATCACCACACACTGCTTGCGGTCATGTAGAAAGTCTTTTATCCACGCTAGGACATTTCCCCAAATTCCGTACCCTTCCAGTTTGATTTTCAGCCTTTCGTGGGGTACACTGTCGAAAGCCTTGACAAAATCTAAGTAAATATTGTCGATATTACCTTCCCGTTCCAGAATATGGGTCCAAATACTGTATCCAATACCTTGAGCAATTGTGTAAAGCAGGAGCGCCCCAGCATAAAATCGTGTTGGCAATCCTTTACAAAGTTGTTTCGTAGTAGATGTTCCATCACGGCATCTCTGATAATACTCTCAAGTACTTTACATATTATGCTGGTCAGGCTCACCGGTCTATAGTTGTTCATGGAGTGACGATCGCCTTTCTTGAAGATAGGACTCACATAAGCCACTTTCCATTCACTGGGGACCTTTTGTTCATCCAGGCATTTACAAAACAGGATCTTCAGGGGCTCGGCAAGCTCGTTGCACAACTCTCTTAGCACTATAGGATGCACCATATCAGGGCCAGGACCCTGATGGACCTTTAGCTTTGACAGTTTATTTCTAATACCCTCTTCTGTGAACACAATGTGGGTCAGTGCTGTGTCGAACCGTCTGTCCTCAAACGCAGGAAGGTTAATCGCATCCTCTCTTGTGAACACTGAGGAAAAGAAGCTGCTCAATGCCTTAGCTTTATCCTGGTCAGAATCTGCATAACTACCATCTTCAAGCCTCAGGTCTGATGCTACTACTCGCATTTTTAATTTCGACTTTGCATAGTGGTAAAATGCCTTTGGGTTTGATTTGACCTCGCTTGCAACCAGCCTTTGGAACTCCTTTTCAGCCCTTCTACATTCTATCTTTGCTTGGTTTCTGGCTCTTGCATACATCCTCCTGTCCTGCTCATCATTTGACCCAATCCACGTCTTGAATTTCTGGGTTTTCTTCTTAACATTGTCGACCGCCGCATGGTTCATGTATAGGGGTCCCCTCGTATTCCTAGAGGCACTGGGTTTGGTCTTGGGTATATATTTATCGATCAAATGGGTCATTTTACTAGTTATGATATTCAGTGTAGTGTCTGCTTTCGTGTGCCTTAATGAGTCAGGCCAGTGGATACCCCTCATCTCTTCCCTCATCCTGTTGTAATTTCCCTTGTAATATTTGCACCTTGGCCTGGCCTTATCTTGAACTAGGTAACAGTTAAACCTGAATGACAACACTATATGGTGACTGGTGCCAACTGGGGCAAGGTGTTCCAGTTTGGCCACCATACCCTCCTCGTTTGTTATGATGAGGTCTAGTGGCTTGGGTGTTTGCTCCCCTCTGTAATGTGTCGGGTCTCTAACATGTTGGAACAGAAAATTATCTTAAAGAGTTTTGTACAAAACGAGTAGCAGGGTTATTCACGTCATTTGAGGTGAACTTGTTTCTCCAGTTGATGTCGCTATAGTTAAAGTCCCCCATGATAAGTAGGTGGCTAGGGTTGAGCATCGCCGTGTTGTCTATTAAGGCTCTTAAGTTCCTTTGACTTAGTGGGCCACAGTTTGGGGATCTGTAGATACACCCGACAATAAGTTAGTCCCTTCCCTTTAGTGTAATTTTACACCACTTGGACTCTTCAAAAACATCCTCTCCCTGTACCCTCGCCTGGCTGGCTCTAAGGTCTTGCCTAGCATAGATAACCACACCCCTCTTGCAAGTTTCTTGAGAAAGGTTCGTAAATGAGTCATATCCAGCAATACTGAACTCACATTCCTCTGGGTCGATTCTCCTGTTCTTGTACAACAGTTCCACAACTGCTACAATATCTGGTTGGTGTACCTTCAGTAGTGTTTCAAACTCCTCTCTCTTATCAAGGAACGTGTCAGTATTAGTGTACATGACATTCAAGCCAGAATTTGTTCTCGGTAACGTCTCTGCTCTTAGTAGTAACCCCGCCTTCCCCCCATTCTCAGAAGCTGCAGCATTTGCTAAGTATTCTGTATTTTGCAGGGTGTGGTTAGAAATGTCATTTTTTACATGGCGCTTGCTTCCTCCTGTCTGGAAGGAGGAGCTGGTGCCACCTCCCGGGTGGAGGGTGCGCTGCTGCCCCCTGGCCTTGTGTCGGCACACTTGCAGTATTGGCCACAGTAACGTTATCATCGTTCACTCTGTTTTTGTGACAAGTGCTTTCACATTTTTTGTGACTGTGAAGATAGCAGTGTAACTTGAAAATGATTGGGAAGTCCAAGGTACCCAGGAAAACCATGTCTCTGAATATGAAGCTTGACATTGTAAAGCTGTGTGAGATTCAGAGTGACATCTCCACCCCACCTTAGCCTCTAAGGGGAATAAAATGACAACCAGGCTTGTTCTTAATGATGTGGTGAGTGTTGTCTAATTGTGATGTAGACATATTATTGTGAAGGAATTGTTTTTCTTTGATACATGTGGGTGGTGGACTGGCTGGGAAGGTATCCCATTCAACCCCATGTTATAATGATCCCAATTTGTGATATTTTGACATGCGATGATTGACATGGGTTTATCAGTTACCTAACCCCATCATAAATTGTGGGATACCTGTATACAGTTACAGTGTTAAACTTAATCTTTGTTTTTGTTTTACAGGAGACATATAAGTGTTTTTGGCCAATTTTGTATCACTTTGCTTGTGGACTGACCTCAGAAGATATGAGACGACAAGAATGGGGTAAAATAACCACATTTATACTAACTATGAAAGGTATATTCATGTATAGTCAATTCATATAGGAATTACTGAAAACAATATACAGGGTATATGAAAATGTTGATCTGATTAGGTTTCTCAAGTGACAGGTCAAGGGTTACAGTTACCTGAAGATCTTTGTTCATCTCTTGATTGGATTGTTAGGTATTAATTTCACATTCACAACAGACATTCAAGTAAAGTTGGAGAGATGATCAGGTTTTAAAAGTAAGGCATACCTGAAACTTGTCCTGCATCAACACACTATCTCCAGGCTGGACTGTAAGATAATCACTACTCTCTGACTCTATCCATAAAGATTTATCCTGATTGTTGTGAAACATTATATAAGAGAGTTAAATAATGAAAGTCTTACTTCAACTTATTGTGAACCTCTGAATACTTTATTTTGTATTTTATATTATTTTTGAGTTTATGTCAATGTGCTGTGTGGACAGGTATCGTGAAGTGGACGAGCACGACCCCCAGGTGGTGTGGCTGTGGTCTATACTGGAATCATTCAGCCCTTGTGAACGCGTCCTCTTTGTTCGATTTGTATCTGGAAGGTCCCGACTTCCAGCCAACCTGGCTGATCTATCCCAGCGTTTCCAGGTACAGTATACTGGTTGTATGTACAGTCCCATGCGAAAGTTCTTGAAACAGTCCAGGTGGATGATGCAAAGTCCTCCTCACCCTTACTGGATGGTGGGTCATTGTCAGTGATGCCGCTCATGGAAACACAAAGTTTACCAGATTCATGTCTTAATCTTTACAGATCACTCAACAAAATTTCAGGTATGGCAAAATTGTATCGAATTACAATTATTTTAATTTTTATCAATACAATTCTACAAAAGTACAAAATATATAAAATATACACGAAAATAATAGACAATCAAATGAAAATAGACATGTGGTATTTTGCATTACAAAAGAAAACCAAATCTATTCAATGGATGGTGAGACGAGACTATAAACTAAAGTTTTATTTGAGTAAATCAAAGCAGAAAATTTACTTAATATCTAAACAAGTAGACCTGGAGTATTGTAGTGCTTTTATCTAACTCATAAAAAAAAAAACGGAGAAGATTTGTTATGAATATAGAGGTTGTGAAGTGACTCAGGCATATGACTCAGTGTTAATGGTTCATTATCACAGAGAACAGCTAACATTTTTATGTGTTTTATAGTGGGGGTGGCTGATGGTGTCACCCACAGTGACTGATGGTGCCACCCCATCAATAACTGTACTGTATATACATTGCAGGTGATGCGCGTTGATCGACCCATTGACACGCTGCCCACGGCCCAGACCTGTTTCTTCCAGCTGAGACTTCCACCGTATTCAAGCCAGGAGGTTATGGCAGAGAGGTTGAGATATGCAATTAACAATTGTCGCTCAATTGACATGGATAACTATATGTTGTCCAGGAATCAAGACCCTAACCACCATTCAGATGATGATGAGTTTTGAGATGATGACAAACATGACAAAGAGTAAAGTTTGACTCACTGTACTGTACTGTACTGTACTGTACTGTACTGTACTGTACTGTTCTGTACTGTACTGTGCTGTACCGTACTGTACCGTACTGAACTGAACTGAACTGTACTGTACTGTGCTGTACTGTGCTGCACTGTACTGTACTGTGCTGCACTGTACTGTACTGTGCTGTGCTGTGTTTTATGAATTTTATTGAACAATATCAGGTTTGAAATACATGGTGTGACCCCAGAGTATGGAAATAAGAGAACTTGTGTTGCCATGCTCCTGCTGCCTTAGATAGCGTACATATATTTGAGAAAACTCAAGTTTTGTGATTTAGTAAAACTAATGTCTTGTTATAGTTTGGCCTTAACTCTTCCGCTTCTTAATTGTTTTAATCTCAGATTCCATCACAATAATTCTTAGAAATTTTCTGTATGTAATTTCCTAACTTGAATTAGGAAAGTGTTAGGCACTTATTTCCTGTGTTGCAGATGTTTAGATATGATGTTCACTAGGAAATACTTTACTGTGTGTAACAGTTCACAAGAGGAGACATGTTTCTTTATACTTAGAATTTTTACACTAAATATTAATGTTTGAAATATTTGAATACAAGGAATAAAATTAAGTGTGGAATATTGTGAAGTAAACAAGTGGTTGTTAGTAAGCATGAACATGTTAAGTGTACAGTTCTTATGATAGTACTGCGTAGAACAACTTTTATGAGCTATACAACTACAGTACAGTGATAGTGTACATTATATTACAACTAGAATTCAGTATTTTTTTCTTTGTCATTTCACCACTTATCAGCTTATTGACCATTCATGAGGTTGGTCTCTCCAGTACAGGAGGAGACCGGTGTACCCAGAGGATACCTGTGATGTTTGGTAGTGAGGGTCACACTGGATAACACCCTTCTCATGTGTGTCCAGGCAAGGCAGGACTTGAACCCTCGGCCCTGACACACATGAGAAGGGTTGGTAAGGACCTGAACCACATATACAACCACTTGAGAAATTAGATTTTTCAACCCTGTACTGTGCTTGAACCATCTACTATGACTGAACAGTTCCACTTCATAACAAAATGGGAAATTCTCTGTGTAGTATATGTTAACCATTTATTGATGACAATTTATGTGTTAGATATTGTAGATAAGTTCCTTTAGTAAACATTTCATAGTAAATTCATTAACCTGTATGGATAATTTTTTGGGGTAAATAAATTGTTTACACTAATTTAATGCAACATAAGCAGAGTATTTTATCTTGATGTCTCAGTCTTTATAATGTATGTGAGGTTAATGATGGAACTCCTGTCTGCAATAGTCATCATACTGAATATCACTAATTGTGTGATTTAATAAGTGTACAGTATACCAACTCCCAATTCATGACCTCGGAGTGTTTGCAAACTTTCAAGAGGTTGAAATTCACTCACTTTGGGGTGAAACTGTTATAGAAAATGTGAATAACATCATAATCCATGAAATACCATATGTAAGGGTTTACTCACATTCACTTACCATATACCACTTTCAAATTTACTAAAAATGAGGGAATATTAAATTTTTACATCATTCATTACTGTATTAAGGTAAATTTTCTTTGTTAATATAACCTCTGTGCTGTGTTTAGTAAGTTAAACTCCATATTGTGCTGTTAGAAAACCAATAAATGTTAAAGACCCACTACTTGAACGACTCTACTTTAGTTTACTACTCAAAGTTTGTTTGAAAAATCACTAGAAATATAGACACCTTCATAGTGAATAATAAACAAGGCTCGGGACACTGGCAACGACAGCTGCTCACTTGAACTCCAGGATCAGTAGACGGACCTAATTCTCGGCTTTACTTCACTCTACATGTGTTCAGAAGTCTGACATAGATATACCTGTCAAATGTGAATAAAATTCTTTATTCATTTATCCCTTTATACATGTACAGTATGTCTTTGTGGTACTCTTCTTACACTACTAATGAAAACAGCGTAGGATACTGTAGTAGAGTCCAGTGCTTCCTAACATTTTCAACTTCACTAGCCAGTGGAGAGTGACAAAAAATTTTGCGGATCAATGATTGTAAATATTTTGTATTACAATTTACATAGTCCATATACCTTAGACCCTCAGTATTTCTTGAGATTAAGAGCAATACTGTAATTACAGGAGAATTTCATTTTTGCAGTAATATCTCAGTTAGCCAGAATCCCTCAAAACTGGAACTGTCCGATAGCTGGAATTGAAATTCTCTCAGAAAATTTTTCCCAAAGCCAGAATTTTCAGGAAAACTCCGGCTTTGGAAACAAATTTCCGAGGGGCACATTTTCCGGAAAATTCCAATAAAATTTTTCCCATTCCCAGAAAATTCTGGAGATGGGGTAGTTTTTTCCAGCTTTGAGAGAGTCGTCTTGTTATCCACAAATCTCTCTTTCCTGGAAGTGCTCTACACCAATATTGTTCCGGCTAATGAAAATATCACTATTCTATAAATCACAATGGGGAAGATGGGGTACCAAACCCGAGACTCCAAAACTACACCAAAAATGCCTTTAGGATATTTATATGACTAAACTTTGCAAGCCTCAGCATCTGCTAGGCCACCCAGTTGCCACAGATTAAATATACTCTAGTTAAAATTTTACATTTACTTCAACTTTTTACCTTTATCATCTTCGCCACTGATCGGCTCGTTAACCGCTTAGGCGATCGGTCACGTCTCTGTAATGCACTGTTGGCAAGTAGTGGGCATGTGCTGGTTCCAGAATGTATCTGTACCTGCATCAATGTTCGTTAAGTCTGATCTTGAAAGAGGTCACACTCGGTGCCGTCACAACACTCTCTGGCTGATTGTTCCTAGAGTTCACAACTCTCACTCCGAAAACATTTACCCTCACAGTTTTCTGGACTTGCGGCTTCTTCAATCTTGAGCTGTGACTCCTTGTGGAGTGAGCATCCATCAGCTCCAGGAATGTACAGTATACTCAACTAAATAGTGCCCTCTGAGATGTTTATACACTTTAACTAGATCACCCCTTGCATGCCTATAGTATAAGCTAGGTAGTTGCAGGTGCTCTAATCTCTCTGGGTAACTGAGGGGCCATAGTGCAGGCACCAGTATGGTGGCCCTCCTTTGGACATTTTCAATCAACTGACAGTCTCTAGCATATCTTGGGTACCAGACAGGGTGACAGTACTCTAGACAGGGAAGCACTTCACTTTTAAAGATAATTACGAAGGATGGACCTTCTAGATAGCTAAACAACCTTCTTATAGGACCTATTAGTTTAGTTGCTTGATTCACCTTCTTCTCACAATGGCCTGATAACTTCCATTCATTGTCAACATACGCTACCAGGTCATTTTCTCATTTGGTTTCTATTAATGCAGTCTCTTCGTCCCGTTGAGACATACGATGCGCCTCCTTGGTACAACCTAGGTGCATCCTCTTACTCTTCGTGACATTGAATCTTAGCAGCCATTTCTTCGACCACTCTTAAAGCTCACAGAGATCTTTCTGCAGTTCTTCACAGTCTGTTTGGTTCTTAATTTCCATGAGTAACTTGGTATCGTCCACAAACATTTGTATGGAGGAGTGTATAGCTTCTGGCATATTTATGAAACAAACAAATAACAATGGGCCCATGATGCTTTCATGCCATTAATCACCACACACTGCTTGTGATCATGAAGAAAGTCTCCAAGCCATGCTAGGGCACTTCCACAAATCCCATATCCTTACAGTTTAATTCTCAGCCTTTCATATTGAAAGCCTTGGCAAAATATAGGTGTCGATACTGCCGCCCTGTTCCAGAATTTGAGTCCAAACATCCAGTACCTTGAGTAATTGTATTAAGCAGGAGTGTCCCGGCATAAAACCTTGTTGGCGATTCTTTAAAAGGTTGTTTCGTTGTAGATGTTCCATCATGGCATCTAATATACAGTCAACCGTCACTTTACGCGGTCCCACATTCTGCGTTTCCACGTTTATGCGGTACCCTGCCAGAACCCAGGATGCTCACATTCCGCGGTGCGTGTACCCCTTTACGCGGGTGAAGTATAATTTTTTTATTTAGCTCATAAAATTCATACAAATTATCCGGCCAGAATATAATTTACATTGCTGGAATTCTTACAATTTGATGATCATTTTGAATATAAGCATCATAGATTTTGCATTAGACATACAAATTTTAGATCTAATGCAAGTATTTTGTTTACTCAGAGCAAATATGCTATCTTTTGTGCAAAATATATGAAGTGTATATTCAAAATATTCCTGGTCTTGCAAGGAATCCAGCAATGTCAATTATATTATCCTAACTTTAGTCTGAGGTATTATTTATTAATAAAAGTTAAAATCTAGTTTTTTCACCCAACATTTCTCTGGTAGGGAGGGAAGGTGGGGAGTGGGGGGAGGGTTGGGACCGACCGACCATCTGGCGCGGTTGGAAGAGGGGGGGAGGCAAGGTGGGGTACTTTGATTGATAGATAGTGTTGTGAAGAATATTTTTTTTTTATTAACTGAAGATACAGTATTTGTTTTAGCTCATAAAATTCATACAAATTACCCGGCAAGAATATAATTTACATTGCTGGAATTCTTACAATTTGATGATCATTTTGAATATAAACATCATAGATTTTGCATTAGTCATACAAATTTTAGATCTAATGTAAGTATTTTGTTTACTCTGAGTAAATATGTTATCTTTTGTGCAAAATATATGACATTTATATTCAAAATATTCCTGGTCTTACAAGAAATCCAGCAATGTCAATTATATTATCCTAACTTTAGTTTGAGGTATTATTTATTACAATACCTTAAGATCTAGTGGTTTTCCCAAAAAAAATTCTCAGAGAGGGAAGAGCCAGCGTGTGTAGTGTGAGAAGAGGGGGAGGGAGTTGAGTCCATTATTTGAATGGACATTAACTTGGCGACTGTATTTCTCTATTTCTCTTAAGTATTAATTGTGTGCATGTACCATCATAAAATTAAGATGTTATTTTTACTAGAACATAGGTATTGTGTCGGAAAAAGTGGAATTTGGGTGTCAGCCGGTCTCTATTTCAATTAATCCCATATGTTATGTTGTTCACTTTACACGTTTCTCACTTTCCGCGGTACCCTGTGGGTTGAATTAACCGCGTAAAGTGAGGGTTGACTGTAATGCTCTCAAGTATTGTACTTTACATATTATGCTGGTCAGACTCACTGGTCTATAATTATTCGTGGAGTGACCATTGCCCTTCCTGAATATAGGACTCACATAAGCCATATTCCAGTCACTGGGAACCTTTTGCTCATCCAGACATTTACAAAACAGTATCTTCAGGGGGTCAGCAAGTTCGTTGCACAACTCTCTTAGCACTTTTGGATGCACCGTGTCAGGGCTGGGACTCTTATGAACCTTTAGCTTTGACAATTTATTTTGTATAACTCCTTCTGAGAACACAATGTGGGTCAGCACTCTGTCAAACAGTTTGTCCTCAAACTCAGGAAGATTGTTCACATCCTCGCTTATGAACACTGAGGAAAAGAATTTGTTCCGAGCTTCTACCATATCCTGATCAGAATATGCGTAACTACCATCTTCAAGCGTCAGATCTGATGTGCCTAATCGTGTTTTTAATTTCGATTTTGCGTAGCGGTAAAAGCCTTTGCATTTAACCTGACCTCTCTTGCTATCCACCTCCGCAACGCTTTTTCAGCCCTTCTACACTCTGCCTTCCCTTGGTTCATGAATCTGGCATACATCCTCCTGTCCTGCTCATCATTTGTCCAAACTCACTGCTCCTCCTTCTACCTGTCCTCCTGCTCCTTCTACCTGTCCTCCTGCTCCTCCTCCTACCTGTCCTCCTGCTCCTCCTCCTACCTGTCCTCCTGCTCCTCCTCCTACCTGTCCTCCTGCTCCTCCTACTGTCCTCCTGCTCCTCCTCCTACCTGTCCTCCTGTTTCCTCCTCCTACCTGTCCTCCTGCTCCTCCTCCTACCTGTCCTCCTGCTCCTCCTACCTGTCCTCCTTCCTCCTCCCTGTCCTCCTGTTCCTCCTCCTGTCCTCCTGTTCCTCCTCCTACCTGTCCTCCTGTTTCCTCCTCCTACCTGTCCTCCTCGTTCCACCTCCTACCTGTCCTTGCTCCTCCTCACACCCTACCTGTCCTCCTTCCTCCTACTGTCCTCCTGTTCCTCCTCCTACCTGTCCTCCTGTCCTCCTCCTACCTGTCCTCCTGTCCTCCTACCTGTCCTCCTGCTCCTCCTACCTGTCCTCCTGTCCTCCCTCCTGTCCTCCTGTTTCCACCTGTCCTCCTGCTCCTCCTACCTGCTCCCCTACCTGTCCTCCTCCTCCTCCTGCACTCCTGTCCTCCTACCTGTCCTCCTGTTCCTCCTCACCTGTCCTCCTGCCTCCCTACCTCCTCCGTCTCCTCCCCCCCGTTCCTCCTACCTTGTCCTCCTGTTCCTCCTCTACCTGTCCTCCTCTCCTACCTGTCCTCCTGTCCTCCTCCTGTCCTCCTGCTCCTCCTCCTACCTGTCCTCCCTCTCCTCCTACCTCGTCCTGCCTCCTGCCTCCTCCTCCCACCTGTCACCTCCTACACCCTCCTGCTCCTCCTCCCTACCTGTCCTCCTGTTCCTCCTCACCTGTCCTCCTGCTCCTCCTACCTGTGCTTCTCCTACCTTTCCTCCACCCACTCT